CCGAGTCGTTTCCGAATAATGAGTCAGAGGATCCTCCAAATTACGAGGTAAAATAAAGGTCGCGATATATTATAATTCAAAAAGAAAGCAGATGACGAAATAATAAATATGTATAGGAGAAAATCTATGTATCCGAGGTGACTTTCTTACTAATGGCGTCCAACAGGAATCAAAGAATAAGGGACAATATGTTTCCACGAGCCATGCCATCACGAACCAATTCTAGAGATAGCGGTTTTAGTGAACTTATTGAATTCGTGGAAGAGACTCGAGAAAAAAATCATGAAGATGATCACGACTGACAATAGCGGTCTGCGTTGTCTCTTATATTTTATACTTTTATGAATACAATTATGACTCTTTGCTTAATACTTAATACTTATCTTGCTTACACAATATATATAATCTATATTTTCATATGTATTCATTTTAAATTTTGTCATGTGCTTATAACTTTGTTTATGTCAACGTTCGTTGTTTATGGATTCCGTTATATTATTCTTTTTGTGTTAATATAATTATACATTTAAATAATAATTTAATCATTTCATATTTGATCTTAAAAAAATTTCACCTGCAGTGTATTAATAGCCTCTCTCTTGACAAATTTCTGGATCAAATGTTAAGCACAATTGAAAAGTACAGGCAGTAGGAATAAAGAATAAGAGATTTTTTAATCGATCAGAAACCGTATATACCAGAAGTAAATACATGAAATCTCTTCCTATTCTCTCCTATTGTCCGTACTTATCAATTTTGTCTCAGGTCTCGGGTTTTACTAATCACTGATCTTTTTGCGAAAGAATATATCGCCCGTTTGTTACGACAATGACATAATTAAAAAATTGTTATAAAAATGAATGGAACTTAAAAAAATACTTTAAAATATATACTCTTATTTCTTTCTCCTCTACAATCAATTACTACATAAAAAATGCATTTCAAAATGAATATTACAAAATTTTGATAATTTAGAATATTTATTTTCTCGACAACTTCCTTTTTTGAATTATTTCATTATTGTAGCAAATAAATGATACATGAAATTTATTCAATCGATTTTCGCGTTTAACAAGACAACTAGACAATTGACAAGATAGACAATCACGTTTTATATTGTGGCGCGTTTCGGGAGCTTCAGGATATGTCGCCACCTCCTGGTACAAGCGAGCGCTTATATCGATTGTATCGATTATGTTGTCCAATTAGGTGGATTTCTGCGATTTCAATGTCGCAACGAGAATCGCTCAGCTTTCAGCTCGAGGATCCCCATTCTACTCGCGAAAATCGATTTTTGTCGATACGAGATTTCTATGTATTATATATACTAGAGACAAGAAGATTCGCGACCGCCCAGTTTTCAACATGTCCGACAAAGAGCAGGATATTCATACGCTTGACGGTGCACATGATAGTATATACTTTTCTCCTGAAACCGTGCTTTTTGCTACCAATTCATCGCCGAACGCATCCCTGACACCGACAAGTGATCTCGACAGTGTTCGGCATAAAGTAGATAAGTCGTTATACTTTACGCCAAGATTCGAGAAGTTTCTACAGTGGAGGCAGATGGACCGTTCTCTGAACAATTCTTTTACACCTGTACTCAAGATGTGCGATGAGGATACGACGCATGATGAGGAAGCGTGCTCATCATGCGATGAGTCATTGATCGAGAAAATAGGTATGCTCAACTAGTCCACATCGAGATATCCACGCGCCTTCATCTGAACATCCACTAAGGTAGACGCGACTCTAACGGACGTGAAACTCCAAGAGAAGAGACGTCTGTGAAGTAATACCTCCGTTGAGGCTTTCACAGATTTTCTTCAAGGAAATTACGTGGTTTACGGATTAGTGTGACATTGTTAAGTGCCATTGTTTGATGAACATTGCACTTTACTTTATCAGGGCAAAAAGCAACCTATAATACTGATGAAGTGAACTGCAATATTCACGAAACGTGGGCATTTAACCCTCCGTCGGCAACTGGGGTCTTTAATGTTATCGTCGATATTTTGATTATAAATTCTGGTTAGTAAAAAATCTGTAAAAAGTAAGTAAAATATAATTCTTCATATGATGGTAAAAATATGTTAAGGTTGGACAAGTATATCAACATTTTTTTCAATTTTTCATATAATCCGGACAATAAAAAAATTTGCTCTTTTCGAAGATCCTTAACGAGCAAAATTCCATGTTGCCGATAGAGGGTTGAATGTCAACTTGAACATTGTAGTTTATTTTATTAGAGTAAGAAGTAATCTCTCTGGCTACTTCTCGATCTGATGAAGTGAACTGTAATGTTCACGAAACGTTAGTATGTAACAATGTATCAAGAACCGTAAAACTAATTTCTTTGAATGCCTGTGAAAATCTCTTGTAATATCTTCGCGGACGTTTCTTATTTGAAGAGACGGAGGAGAAGGGGGGGACTTTCTGCGTCCAATAGAATCGCGTCCGATCTTCTGGATTTAGACGAACGTTTAGACGAACGCGCGCGATAAATACTAGCATAAATTTTGCACACTAAATATCTAACGAATGCAGAGAAACTGCGGATTGTCAACTGCAACTTGCACGAAATCTCAGCGGGGGACAATACGAAGGACGAGTTGACATCCGATTACTCGACCATGGAAACGACCGTCCAGGACAACGACGGTTCGTCGTCGAAGGTGACGTCCGACAGTTCGATCGATCAGTTTCCGCCGCGAGGGACGAAACAAAGCGACCGTCCGGACCGAGAGGACGCGATCGTCGATTCCGCAGTGGAGGCTGGTAATCCTGGGAATGCGGAATCGACTCGCTTGGCAGATCACCCGACGACGTCGTTCGATCACCCGAGCGCCATTGAGGACGGCAAGAAAACGGACACGTTTGACGATCTATATAATCGAAACGCCAAGTTGACTCAATGTTATATAGAACAAATGATGGCCAAGCAGCAGAGTGGCGGTTGCTTTGGGAGTCATTGGTCGAGAAAGTTCATGAACATGTCGACGCTGTGTCGATCGCCTCAACGATCGAAAAAATCTAAAGAAAAGGAGCGTCACTGCGATGTAAAAACGAGTTCACCAATGCAAGGGAAAAATCCCGTTATGGAATGGAAACATCCCATTCTTAAGTTACGCCCTTCGATGGATACTTCAAGAAGACAGGTCCAAATACTCGAAAGACACAGACCAGGTAAACGCGTTTCACCTTGGCGGGAAATGTTCGATCGATGATCGTAGCGTGCCGCGTAACAATAATAACGATTTCAACCTTGAGTGCCGTACGTTTTTGCATCGGCTCGACCGACGTTACGAGATATTTGTCCGCGGTGGTGCCTCGTTGTCGCCCACCTGTTACCTATTCTCTCGTAAATCGTTATCGATCCATGTGAATTGAAATATCTAATTTTTACTTATGCGTTGTTTTAACATGTGCCTGGCATAGATAAGGCAAGACATTTTTTTAAATAACAGCCAAAAGGAAGAGAGAGAGAAAAGATGAGGCGAAATGGTAATTTATAGTCGACGTTAGTAATCGGCTGTATCAGCGTTTTTCAACCTATTTCAATTCCGGCACATTAAATAACGAACCAAATTTATCAAAGTATATCATTCAATTTATCAATGTACGTCAAAGTATATCAAGGTATACACGCTTCAACGCTCAACATAAATCTTTTATCAGATACTGCCAATATTAAAAATATAAAAAGTAAAATTGTAAGCTTTTGTTTTTAACTTTATTGCTTTAAAAGTGATTTTATTGCAATATCGCTTTGATTATAATAAAAGTCAGTGCAGTATAATTTAAGTAATTTTCACAATTTTTAAAATATTTTTTACTTCGCACCTCATTCGCTTCTTTTTTTTTACTTATTTCTAAATTTTCTCTTCTCTTTGCCTTCTTTAACATTTTCACAGCGCGCTTCGAGAGCCTTTGCGGTACTCCGGTTGAAAAATTCTGGATTACACCAAAGACGTTACTCGAAGTATTTTGCGATTAAAGCTTTCTCAAGAAGTATTATAATTGCTTTTGAACTCGTTACACGCCGCAAGGCAGTCCACGATGAACGGAAAGGAATTTGGTTTTTTCACTGTCTATTGTTTTCTCAGCTGCTACCTCGTCTACCCGAGCACTTGAGTAAAGATAAATCGCGCATTGTGTATGCGCGATAGGCGCGATTAATGATTTTACGTTGTGTAACCGTTTTGAACGTCGTAAATTAATAGTAAACGTTGGCGTTACGCAACCATCTTGCGTAATTATTCGAAAATTAAATGCACATTTTTATCGCATCTCGCTGGCTAATCTCAAAACTTTCTTTCGCTCGTGCTTTTCTGCAACACCGCGAAAATGCGAATGCAAAGTGAAGCAAATGGAGCATGCACCAGAGTGTATTTCACATTATCACGCAGCGAGAAAATGAAAATGCGCGATTCTGGTCCGCTACGTAATTCTTGAACGCCAACCGCGATTTAAAAGCGAGCACGAGAAGGCTCGAAGTCGTAAATCACGGGCACCCGCGTGGGTATGAAACATAAAGGAAAAACAAGATTATGTGTCTTAGCTTTATGTACATACTCATTAATTTTTACGAGGTGGGGAGCGTAGCTCTTCGTTTCGAGCATAAAGTCGTTTGATCAATATTTAGGCACAATCGTCGTGTGTATACGCCGATTTATTCTATGAATCGCTTTGTAGCGCCGCTCATATCTCGTAAAAAAGAACATTTAATTGTCACTTGGGATTACAGTGAGCGGCTCAACTGTAATTAATTCCATTGCCATGCAAGATCAGGAGATAATCTGCTACTCTTATGCAAAGGATTATTCAGTGAAGAGAAATTTACAAATGTACTCTAAAACATTTTTCAAACGATTACTGACACTCTGTGTATTTAATAATTTTTTTGAAAAAAAATTGTAGCTTCAGAATATTTTATATGTATATTTACATGTTTTCATTACACTTTTTGTACCGTAAATCATTCGTTTTGTCAACAGATGTCCCGTTTCCACCGTCGCATAAAATGACAGTGGCAGAAGTCTTCGACGAACGAACAGGATCCCCGCGGCCGGAAGTCCTCAAGCAACACTTTATCCTCGAAGGTAGGATCGACGAGGCTGCGGCTCTTCGTATAATCAACGATGGAGCTGCCCTTCTACGCTCGGAGAAGACTATGATAGACATCGAGGCTCCGGTCACCGGTGAGTCAAAATCCAACTTTTGTTAAATCTCAATTTAAAGTACGCACGATGGGTCATTCGTGTCCTGTATATTTCTTTGCTATTACTAGTATATACTATTAGGTGTACAACTTTGCTTCCGCCGTTTTCATATAGATGGCTTTAGCGGTAAGTGATGGTCGAAATAAATAGATCATAGAATCGTCATACAAGAAACTTGGGCATCTGTCAACATAACCCCATAGAAACATTTGTCGATTGTGTCTGCATCATAAAGTTATTCTCGATTGAAAATGTCAGTTTACGAGCCAAATTCTCGTCATTTGCGGGAGATTTTAATTTTCTGCTTCAATATGAAGAAATCTGCGGCTGAGGCTCATCGAATGCTCTCAAATACTTATGGTGAGGCCGCTATTAGTGAGAGAACGTGTCGAGAGTGGTTTCAACGTTTCAAGAACGGTGATTTTGACGTCGAAGACCGCATAGCGGTGGAAGAGAGAAGGTTTTCGAAGATGCAGAATTGGAGGCATTACTTGATCAAGACTCGTGTCAAAATCAAGAAGAATTGGCACGATCATTGGGAGTGACTCAACAAGCCATTTCAAAACTCCTCAAAGCCATGGGAATGATTCAGAAGCAAGGAAATTGGGTGCCGTACGAGGTGAAGCCGAGAGATGTTGAACGACGTTTGTTTGCTTGTGAACAGCTGCTTGAAAGGCAAAGACGGAAGGGATTTCTGTATCGCATTGTGACTGGGGACGAAAAATGGGTTCATTACGATAACCCCAAGCGCAGAAAATCATGGGGAGTTCCCGGCCATGCTTCCACGTCGACGGCCAAACCGAATATTCACGGCTCCAAGGTCATGCTCTGTATTTGGTGGGACCAGCTCGGCGTAGTGTATTAGGAGCTGTTAAACCGACTAAAACAATCACAGACGATCGGTATCGAACGCAATTGATGCGTTTGAGCCGAGCATTGAAAGACAAACGGTTTTGGGTTGAAAATAGTTGAATCAGAAGGGTCTGATCTTATCAATCAGAATTCTGATTATCTCGATTAGAATTAAATAGATTTAATCGCTAAATTCTAACGTGTCTATTTTTAATCATTAGAATTCCGATTAATGCAACCAAACTCCTTCTAATTTGGTAAAAAATCTGTAAAAAATGAGTAAAATACAATCTGTCTTCTATGATAATAAAAACTCATTGTGTGTAAGAATTTTGTACATTTTTATATACTCCGGGACAATATAAAAATTTCTCGAAACATTTGTGCTGAAGACCTAAATTGTAAACGAAGGGTAAACATTTTACACTGCCAATGGAGGACTAATACACAACCTTACAAATACTTTTTAAAGATGTTAAAAGTATATACAAGAACACTTAATAATTTTTTATGTACTTGTAATAGTAATGAAAGTAGAAAATTAACCCAGACACGAATGATCCGGCGTATGTAAAAGAAGATCGTGTGTACTAAGAGTTAAGTTTTAGACTTTGGTCAAACTAACTGTCGGCAACTTACGATCGCTGGGAGAACGATCCCAGCGATTCTGGGCGATGTGTGTTCGACTGTCAAGGCCGCCTTAATTAATTGGATATAAGATATTCAAGCCTTAATTGAATCGAAAATTCGGTCCCTTCCCCCCCTGCTCGATCCTCGCCGCTCCTTGATCAATTATCCTTGAATTAAGTTCGTCGCGACGGCCTCCTTTGTGGCGTGTCCGCTGATTGTTCTGGAAGCGCGGAATAGGAGGACGTAATAAATCCCACCCTCGGCTACTTTGGATCGATTCGGTTCCTATTTCCTTCTACGCCCCTTCTGCTGCTCGCCGTCATCCTTTTACGCACGTATCATTGACAGTTATTACTTTCCACATCGCCGCAATGCAATTTTCATTAGTGAGATTAAATGGACCATATATATTCGCATTACTTGCTTCACATTACTTCTTTTCGAAAAATTTCATTGGTTCATTACGGAGTTGCCATTAAAACCTCGAAAAATACTGATATTTGATCTGTGCGAGAAAGCGAAGGACGGAGAGAACGAAAAGTTTCGAATAAAATAATATTTTTCACGACGTCTAATTTATTTTTAATTGACAGGATAATTGAACGTTGAAATCCCGATCGGAGAGCTGCGAAGTATCGGTTTAATTTAAGACTCTGATCGTTATGAATGTCTTCGATAATAAACAGATAATTAATATAAATTACAGTTAATTACTAAACAGTAATAAGATACAGAAACGGCTATTGCTTTTATTTACTTACTCTCGTTTACTCGAGAACACATTTCTCCCGCGGTGAAAAAATACAACCTTCGATAACATCTATCAAATCAATATAGTGTCGCGTGCACGCGAGCGCTCGTGGCAGCCGCATGCTGCTGCAGCATATTTTTCGCGCATATGCTCGTCGCATCCGAATCGATGGTCAGCGAATCGGCCTTAAATTTATTTCACGTCGATCGAAGCGACCGGCGAAATCGGTCATCCCTCTTCTCCGTTCGTTTCGCATGCTCTTTCGCTCCTTCGGTGTCCGCCGCGCCATCCGTCGTCCGTGCGTCTCATGCATCCTCCCTCGGTGTAATTCATCTTCTACCCGATCCTGGCTGCAACCACCCTGCGTCCTGGCCGCGATGCGGATTCGCATTCGACGACCAGACGCCTGGCGCGCACCGCAATTTCTCTCTGTCGGATCCGTACTCTTCTTTTTCTCCTCTTCCAACACTCGGGCGACACACGTGGGCTAAAAGCAAGTCGGGAAAGCGGCTTCCGGTATCGACTATTATCTACGACAAAGCGGTGACGGGTCGGGAGAGGCAATATCTATCAGACACATTCTCAGATCGCTTTGAATTCCCTCGACAATCTCGGAATTTATGAGAATTTGGCCGAGAGAAGAGGTACGGGTCGATGACGACGTTCTGCGAAATTCCGCCTGCCTCGAGCTTCGTTAGTTCGCTCGATGAACCGTATACTAGAAAAACGGAGGAGTTTTAATCCGGAACGAGAAAAGGAAACGCGAGGCGCGCCGACCTATCGGAAAATTAATTAACGGTTACCACGTGCCTCGCATGAAAAATTGATATGCATATCAAGTTACTTGCCAAAAGATGTTCTTAAAATTCTTGTGTTATTCTTAAAATTATTGTGTTATTACCTTGAGAGAGATGGAAGTATATATTTCTTTTTTAAAATTCCGTTTGACATAAATTCCTTTCATGTGTCTCGCATGAATGGCATGAAAGATTGATATGCATATTTCCGAAATTATTTGCTACTAACAGACTGCTCTTAACATTTTTCTATTACCATTTTAAGAAACGGAAGCATATAGTTCTTTTTTAGAATTTCGATTGACTCGAATTCCTTTCATGTGTCTTGAAAGAATGATATCACATATTTCTGAAATTTATTTGCTACTAAGAAAACTGTTCTTGAAGATTGTTGTATTATTATCTTAAGAAAAGAAAGCTTATAATTTTTTTAAATTTCATTTGACGCGGTTTACTTTCAATTGCTCCGCAATTATGTAATTAATGGGCGTATCTAATGATTTTTATTAACCGCGACATCTCGCATTGATGGCAAAGAGGATCAAATTGCGGTTGGTTAATTGGGAGAAGGACAGGAGGCACGTTGAAGTCTTCCTTTCAAGCGAGGGTTTCTTTTCTGTTGTACGGTTTCGTGACGCGTTTCTTTGATCGACGTATAAACCCTCGATTGTTCTCAATCACCGAGCTAAATCCTCACACGAATAAGTTGTTCATAAAACGAGGTCAATCTAATGGCAATTTACCGCTTATACCTTCCGGGTTGTATTATATTATGTATTAAAAATTCATATTTTAATAATTGATACTCGCGCCATAGCTTAGCGAGGAGACACTACCAGTGTCTTCAGATCAATCGAATGGCAATTTATCGCTTATACCTTTCGGGTTGTATTATATTATGTATTAAAAATACATATTTTAATAATTGAGTTACGTAATTTGAATTATGGCTTTCGATTATTAATAAAAATGGACCTTTCGAAGTAACTGTATAATTTTAATTGTTATTAGACTGAATCAAAATTGAAGTTAATATCTTAGCTTACATATAGTAACATTCTCGCACCGTTAATTAATTAAATTAACGTCCCAAATACGTTTTATGTTTAGAACTATTTAATCGTCTTGTTAAATTTTTGCTTTCAAATTTTATTTCGTTTATTTATAGGTACGTTTTCTGTAACTGAACTAGTATACATTTTTGAAACTTAAAGTGAAATAGGTTTGACATTTGGCAAAGGCAAGAAAGAAGTTCTAGTGCAGGAATAAAAAAACGAAACATATTGCACACGCTTCTAATTTAGGATTAAAACGAAATCTCTGATCGCTTTTTGCATGAGTAATAACTAAATTAGTGTAGCTACATTCTAGACTTGAATAATGAAATTAACATCTTACAGACTTAGGATTAATAAAAGGATTAATAAAAATTATCTTTTTTTACATTCGTGATAACAGAGAAGTAGCAGCATGTACATGTAATAAACCGAGATTAGAGCTAACCGGCGTTGTTAAAATTTCTTATAAAGAATTTCCTTTTACATCCACGGCCTTCATAAACGAACTTCCCGGATATTCAAATTAATGATAATGAGTTACTCGAATGTTAGCCGAATGGAATCTCCATCGGCGATTAGTGCGTTTCTTTGCGCCGTGAAAGAACAGCCATTTCCACGTCCATAGAGCGTAGTGGCTCGTTTTAGCTTATGTCTGACTTCGCTTTTTTCTCTTTCTTTTTCACTAACGTTATAAACCGGTTGGAACAGCGCGTTACGATAATCGCTTCGACATTGCATTAATATTCTTTCGCCTTTTTTTTCGCTTCTGCAAATTTTTTCTTTCAGAAATGAGTTCTTTCGTTACGCGCGCTCGTAAAGCTTTACTGTCTCTCCGCGTTCGCGTTTTGTGTCTCTGCGAAATAAAAGAAGTAGCGATCAGAAGGTTATCGT